ATTTCATTACACCAAATACACAAAATAATGTTCTTTTTAGCAGCATCATATGACCCCTTTAAATAAAAAAATATTTTTTAATTTGGCTGAATTTTAAGCTTTTTTGTTATGCTTTACCTTTATATTTTTGTCAAAAAATTTTGCTAGTCTGATCAAATAATTAGTCAAAATAGAGATTTTAACGCTTTCCCTGCCAGATAATTATTTTTTAGTTGACAGCCACCACCAGCATTTTGTGATCATATTCACAAATCATTCATGACACATTATTTTGTTATATGAAATATTATGTTGTATGAATATCTAAACAGTGAATATGTCCAAAAGAGAGAATAAAAAGAAAAAGAACAGAGCCTCTGTTTACAGCTTTCAGATGATGTATAAATCTCAATTTTGAAAAACTGACACTTAAGACTGGTTTTGTGGTCCAGGGTCACATTTAGATTTTTGAAAACAAGGATTGCAAGAATGACACCGCGTGATAACGTTGTCATCGTGAAAATGTCACCAATGGTGGGGAAAGAGTTAAAAAACATGATTGATATTCAGTCCCCACACTGCAAATGCAAGGTCAAGTTGAGTGTTTGGCATTGTGGGATATATAGTATTACACACAGTGTGTGTACCGATGAATCCTGCACGTTTTTGCATCTTGTTATTCCATGCTAATAGACAAATACTGCTCGAAATATACATACTCCATACTGCAGAAGTAGTAGTATGCTGTTATTAGCTCAAAAACCTCACAATTTTTTGTCTCATTTACAGAGACCTGCCTATGAAGCCCAGTAAGGAGACGCAGGAGTTTGTATCTGGTCTCGCCCACATGATCATCCGTTTGCAGGAGAGAAATGTGGTACTGAGCGCCTGGAACCTGATGGCCGTGGTTCTCCTTCAGAACCTACAGGGCATTGATTTGGACCTGCTGACCCATAAAACCCTGTGGCTGAGGAGACTCGCCCTGCGGTTTGGAGCTCATCTCAGATGGCCCAGTAAGGATGTGTGTAGAGATGATGCTCTATAAATAAACGTGGTATCGCATTACACCATACTACATAAAAATACAATCAGCTAGTGGCTTCAGTGCTTTATAGACAGCTTCTGTTGCATGCTGTCAGTTGGCAGAGAAAATATGTTTGATTTATTTGTTTGAATAAGTAAAATCTTACAGTGGACCTCTATAGGGCAGGACATTAAAATACAAGCCAAAGCTGAACATTACACATAAATAAATGAGACTAGCATGATTAAAATCACTTACGAACTTTTCAAAATTATATCTCATGTCACCGCCTATTCTGGCCATGTAAATGCAATTATTTCTGATTGATGCGCATAAATACTAGAAAAAGTTGAAAAACTTGATCATAACCAGAACTTCATCAGTTTCTGTTTTTTACAATACTAAAACAACATTTAGACAACTTTAGAGCTCAAATAACTTTTTTTTTTTTTTTTTTTTACA